AATGTATAGGAGTGAGGTAGAGGAATGAAGAGACATCAGCTGTTATCTTACTATATTTCTCCTTCCTCCTTCTCAACTCGTTTATTTTTGGGGGGGAAGAGGGGGGATCCGCGGAAAGGACTTCCAGGTTGAAGAAGCTGCAAATTCAAATGATGAAAAGAATCCAAGTGATAAGGAGAGAGACTAGAAATGGAAGGAGGAGGGAGTGTGGAGACGCTATAGAGAAACAAGAACCTGAGGGCATGGGAGGTGGGCCATGAGGAAGAAGGTGGTAGTCGTAGGAGGCTGTAAGTCCTTCCCCAGAACCTGTCACTCCCCTCCACCTTTCTGAAACGTTATCTCCCAACTCGAAACTGAAGTGGAAAAACAAACACAAACTTTACTGAGAAACCAGTTTGCCAACGTGTTTGGAATTTAAGGAGTCTTTGCGAGGAAAACTCATGATCTTGGGCTGTGGAGTATGTGTGTATGTGTGTGTGTGTGGGGGGGGTTGAGAGGGAGTAGGTCACATTCATATACTGGAGAGACTGGGGTTTGACACCCTTTGCATATCTCTGCTTCCCGCCTCTGGACCCTCTCAGCCCCCACCCCGTCCAGGCTCAAGCTTGATCTTGCTGGTCTTTCAAGTTCAGCCCACTTCCAAAGAATTTGGTAATGAGAACACGGGAGAAAATGGATTTAGTTTTAAACCAGTCTCGCATCGATCTCCTCTGTAATTCTTGCCCCCTTTCTACTGGCGTTACACTCACCTGTACCCTAAAGCATTAAGATCATTACGGGAGAAATGATCTTAATCTCCAGGCAGAAAATAAGTCTTGGGGACTTCTCCGACTTCACAAGCAGTGAATAAAGTACTGCTTAGCTGTCCCTTTCAGACTCCTTAGTGTGATTTGAGTAGTGGACTTGTGTGTTTGAAACAATCCCAGACAGGAAGGAATATGTGCATGGATGCTTGCGCGGGCACGTGCTTCTTTGTCTACACTAGGGTTTTCAGTTATCTGAAATCCCTAGTGTATTTTCATTGAGTTCAATGAATATCGGAATCGGAGCCTAGGAATATCGAGTGGTGTGGCTGCTCTCTTTCCACTGCCCTTTCCATTTTTCTCCTTTCACTTCCCTCTTTTCCCTCTTCTCCTATTCCCCTCATTCTTCCTTCATCATCTTCCCTCCCTTCCTCTCTCGTGTAACTTTTTTTTTTTTACCACCACCACCATCACCACCACTACCACCACCACCTCCTTCTCCTCTTCGCTGAGAACCTAGAGGGATGCCAGTAAGCCATTTACTCCAGATAGCATCCCATTTCCTCCTCCTATAAAATAGCCTCAGGTACTCTGATGGGTGAATTACCAGGACTGACCTCAGCGCAACAGCCCTGGGAGGACAGCCCATCTTCACCCTCCAACCCTCATTCCTCAACCCTATTCTTGGACTCGCGAGAGCAACTGCTTCTTGTAAGAGTAGCGACCTTGAAGGCTCTGCTGAGATGTTCTAAAGATCTAGCTCTTCTATCTGGGGAGAGCCCTAGACACGTTTAGATCAGGTTCTTAAAAAAAAAAAAAAAAAAGAAAGGAAGGAAGGAAGAGAGAGAGAAAGAAAGGAAGGAAGGAAGGTAGGAACTAAAAAAAAAAAGAAAAAGAGAAACTAGCATTTACATAGTCCGTACAAGGTTGGGCACAGAGCAGGGTTATGGGTAGTTGGAGAAAGGGGGCGGGAGCGGCGAAGGAACCAGAACTAGCTAATAATTCTTGAAAATGTGAAACACAAGGTCTTGTTTGTCTTGGGTTCAGTGAGGAAGCCTCAGTTTCCCTGAAATTATCAGGAAAGCAAAGAAATACGATGTTATAACTGTATAAAAGCAATATTTTTATTTAATCTGGATTTTGGGGACCTTTATTTTCAGGTAGTTAAAAAACTGAACAGCGGGCTTTGTATGTTATTTGGTGGAAAGCTAGTGGGGGTGGGTTAAAGCCCCCTTCTCTAGCCTTTAATGTCTGAAATAACTAAATGCCTGTGTGGCAGCTGCTGCTAGAGCCAAAACTAACTCTTTGGAAGAAGGAAAAGAGTGAAAGGCAAAGAAAGACTGTTCATTTTTTTCCTTTGGTGCCGTTTTGGATGTCATCTGTTTCCTTGGCGACTGTGTTCAGCCCCCAAAGCCCCTGGGCTCCTGGATTGTTAGAAAAAAAGCATGCTATTTCTGCACCGTCATTTATCACTGTCACCACATAATGATTCCCCTTGCAGCTCCTTATTGATGTTTGTAATTGCATTATCTCATAAAGGGGGATGATCAATGAAACCGAGCCGTGCATTCTGGGGTCAGAGGAAGCCAAAGTACTGTTTGTCCCCTTTAATACAACAAGTACTCATTATCTTTAGGACTGCATTCAAAAAATGATCTGATCTGGTGCTGACCCTGTCGGACATCCCAACACTTTCTAAAACGCAGTTTGTGTAACCTTTTGCTTAAATGCTAAATCAAGTACCTGTCTTGCATTTCAACGAAATGAGCTGCAACAATTGAATGAGGAAAGTATTTTTTCCCCTTGGGGAGAGGTTGGATGATCTTCAGAAGCATAGAGTTTTGTACTGTAACTGCATAGACCTATATAAGAAACAGGGGTGCTGAAACAGGGCTCCAACTTTTCTAATGAAGGAAACAATTTCGGGGAGAAAAGGGAAAAGGACATATCTGGAAGCATTTAAACGCGTCATCCCTAAAAGATCAGAATAAAACCACTTTTTCTTTCATGCAGTCCAATTTAATTAATAAGAGCTGCAAACTAGAATAATTCTCCATGAATCTCTCATCTACCTTCGCTTTTTGTAGAATCATATTAGAACTCTTCATTTTAGATAAGTGATTTTTTTTTTTTGTGCTTCTGGTTTTCGCCACGGGGGAAAATAATTTTGACTCTGTTGCATCTGAAAATAAGCAACAAACTCCACCAAATCAAACGAAGTCATTTGACAACTGTGGGGAGTATTTAGTTAAATGGTAATCACCCAGTGACATTGAGTTGGCTTAATCTCATGGAAATCAAGTTATCTTGTCGAAGTGAACTACAATAAAAATTCAAAAGGAGCAAAGGAAGGTACAAGCAAAATTTTAAACTAAACGTACTACTGATGTGTCATTGACCGGGCAGACGCGATTTGTTAAGCCTGGACTTGAGGGGTGGAGAGGGAGTCCGACACAAACACATGATATTAGGCTTGTCCAAAAGCTTTGGGATATACAACACGTCTTCCGTATTGGGTTATCTTTTTTTTTTTTAACTGAGTGAAGCTGGAGAAAGTGAACCCCATCCCTTTCAGCAAAGCAGGAAGGACAGGGCTAACACCCTAAGAGAAGTCAATTCGAGCAAAGATTTTTATTTTTAATATTCAAGTACAGTTTTATTAAAAAGGCTACCAAGACGAAAATTTCATATTCTAAAAAGGAACCAAATAATTCCGGATGTGAATTTTGAATTTACGGCAACAATTCCTAAATTACACTATCTTGTGTAAAAGAAAGATTAAAATAATAACAAAACAACCACAGAAACCCAGAGCTTCAAAATAGCCAAGAGTGCAGAAATTAAACAAGCATCTTCAGTGAATTTTAGACCTGGTGAGATATAAATGTGAAATGAGATGTTACATAAAGACATAGAATATTCTCATCTAGAATATAGCTTCCATTAATAAGTCAAGATAGTTCTAATTGCTTAAAATCCACTTAATTAATTGTATAAATCCTTCAGAAAGATTTCTAAATGCATTTTTAAAAAGAAATTCTGTCATTGAGAACATATTAGGGGTTTTGCATTAATTATTTCACGATATGCTCAAGCAGCAATGAATATACGGTGGAAGCATCGACAAGCATATATTGAATCTAAATCCTAACTAGTCTTTAACCTAAAACACTAAAACACTAAAAGGGAAATGAAACTTTGGATTTTGTCAGATTATAAAAACCTGTTTGTCAGACAGTACTCACACGAATGAGTCCTATTCGTCCCCCCCCCCATTTTAACCAATCAACTCAGCCTTTCACTAATACTGTCAGATATTTGGCATCATGCATTTTTCTATTTTTAATATTTAGTGTTATAGCCCACGGTTAAAATAATGAAAAATTAGTCTCGTTTCAGAAATTATTTATTTATGGAACGAACATGATTAAAACATAAACACACACACAAAGTGCAGCTGCAACAAAAAAAACTTGATTTATGGTTATTAAATCTTTGATTGCCATGTTAATGTTTCTTTTTCTACCTTTCATTTGCATTTTAATCTATCGAATCTTTACAATTTTGCTGCCTCCTATTTCAGTGACTGATTACAGATCTGAAATAAGAAATATGAAGCCTAGCTTTCTTTCCTTGCCCCCAAGCCCCCACCTCGAAGTTTCTGACCCCCTCCCCAAGCTAATACAGGCAGGACAAATTAATCCTGCTCTTTCAAATGTCAAAGATATAAATTTAAAAACTGTTTTCTGTCCCAAATGTGAATATTTTCCCAGTCGGTTGTTTTAGAGTCACAAGAGATCGTCATTGCAAAATGCAATTACCAGCTAAACACACGCACAGCAGCGGGGATTTAAAAGGACGGGTTATTAGAGAGTTAAAGAAAGGTGAGGAGTTCATCACCCCTCTTTCCTCATCCCTAGGCACCTCTCCGGAGCTCTCAGGAGTTTGGTTTCAGTGTTAAGTCTGTGATCTAGCAATGTGGTCTCAGGCACACAAACAAAAACAGGGCTGGTGGGGGCTTGTTGTGAAGTCAATTTGGTGACAAAAGCATAAAGACAAAAGTCGCAGCTCTATTTGTTTTCTTTCCGGGGCTAACTTGTCTGCCCCCCCCCCCCCCCCCCGCTTTGGCTCCTTACTCACTGTCCTCCTCTCACCTCTTTTTTTCCCCTTCTTGCTGCTGAGATAAGGTAGTCATTAAATCTCCGAGCTTATTGTCTTTCCCTTTTGTGTGTGTGGTCATTTTGAGAGTGAGTGAAACCAAGTGTATGGTGTCAGTTAATGAAGGTGGTTTAGTAAGAAGTGGCATGGGATGGATGTTGGCCTCCACCTTTTCCCATCCTGGGATGGATGAAGGGCTGCTGAAGCTCAGGAAGACACTAGCCAATGGTGCCTGCCGGATAGATTGCGATTCTGGAGCGCTGGGACTTGAGGGTGAGGGGGTTTAGCAAGCTACGTAGAGAGGAGAGGTTGGCGAGCTGGGGGATAGAAGACATAGCTAGCCCCTCTTGGCATTTCGGCTCTTGGAGAAATCGTCGGTCCTACTCTATCGCCCACCCTGAAACCCAAGGGGAAGAAAGGCGAGTTGAGTAGAAACTCCTCTATCCCTTCAGCTTAAGGAGACGGACTTTCTGTTCATGGACACTGAACGGTTCTCTTGGACTGTGGGTGGTGGTGTTAAATCCCGCGGATGAACAGCACACCGCCTCCTCTGGAACGCTTCGGTATGTCCAATCTAAGCCCCAGTTGAGGAGGTGAGGGAGAGAGTAGAGGGAGAGAAGGGAGAGGAAGATATGAAGAGAGAAGAGAGGTGTGGGGAAGAGAGGGGGGAGGATGGAGGGAGGGGGGAAAGAGAGAAAGAGAGGGAGAGACAGAGAGAGAGAGAGAGAGAGAGAGAGAGAGAGAGAGAGGGAGAGTCTGCGGGGGGGGGGATGAGGAGGGAGGACTTTAGGGGTAGGTCTTTTTGAAATATTCATTATATGAATATCGTCATACGCGAAACGACTACAGGGAAAAATAGAAGGGGGGATCGGGGCAAGCCAAAGCTTCATGGGAGAAGGGGTTCCCCGTTTTTTCCAACTGGATCTGATAAATAATTGAGAAGAAAAAATGAAAGCACATTTCGGAGTTCTTTTCTCATCCTTCCTACATCCATCTTTTCATGTGCCCGAAAAAAGCCACAAGCCCCTTATTTCAAGGTGGAAACTAAACAAGCACGGGGAGCACAGCTCGTCCTTACCTGGATTTAGCCAACTGGACTTCGCAACTTGAAATCCCCCCTTTTCCCATTTAACCTGGCCCTGGGCTCCTGGACCAGAGGCTCCCTTAATTAGAATGGAACCATCAAGGGGTTAAACCAAGAAACCACTTGATGGAGGCCGACCCTTTGTCTTGAACGGGATCAAGCAATGGAGAAACTGGAGGAAAAAACGGAAAGTCTAGACAGGAAAACTTATTGTGTTCACAAAGTAGAAAAATGAGCAGAACGCTGTGTACCTCAAAGGGTGAAGATAGATCCTTGTAGACAAGTGGAAAGACAAGACTGGGAAGATTTAAAGTGAAAGAAACGGGAGATTATTAAGAAAGTAATAGTGAAGTGTCCCATACACTACAGTTTTATTGGTGGGTAGTAACTACCCGATTTATTTATTGCCAGGGCTATATAATAGAGATAATGACCACAAACTCAAGATAAATTCTTAGGTGCACAGCTGGTCAATTCTTTTTTATTTAAGAGAGTAATCCTGAAGGGTAAGACTCATCTTCTTCTCTTCACAAAGATTTGTCTTGCTTTTTACAATACTATAAACATGACATGCAAATAAATAAGTGGTTCTGGGTGTGTGTGGGTAGGCCTACAGAATTTATTTCAGGTGAGGGAAGAAAACATACTGAATATGAATTTCCACCATAGCTATGGGGTGAATCCTCCCCTCCTTGCTCTACCTCTCCCCCCATTCTCTTATGACAGGAGCAGAGAACATCCACGGATAAAACATTAAGGTGTCATGTCTTAACTCCTTGTTTGTTGATAGATGGGACTGGGGAAAACTATGAAGCCCATTCCCAAAGTGAGCTGTTTGCTAGCAAGCTGTTTAAGGAATTCAGATCTCCAAAGTGAGATTACTCTAAATCACTACTTTTAATTATGAGTTCAGGAAGGGGTACGAGCAGAATGTTTAATGTCCTTTTGAAATACTCTAAGGTGGGGACAAAAGTTTTTTCCCCCCTCTCATCTCCCATCACCTGGGCTGATTTATTTTAAAAAAGAAACTACTATGGCTTCTCAGGCTTCCCAGAGCTTCCTTTGACCCTTCTACTCATGAACCCTCCAAGTACTCCTCTAGCCAGATAAAGGCATTAAGAATGACCTTCGTAGTTGACTGCCAAGGTCAGAACAGAGTAGGCTGCCTCAGGTGTCAGCATAGGCTCAGCTAGCTCAGCTCCTCTCCACCTGATGTGATCTGATCCAATAATAGTCACTGTGTTAGCCTTTAATGAGGCACCCTGTGAGAGCTTATCGGCCCCCACCTGCTCTCCTCGATAATACCAACAGATTCAGAGAATGCCAAAATGAAGTCAGCATCCTCTTCCCATTTTCTTTTTTTATGTTCAGAGATATAGTGTTTCAGTCTCACAATAACCACTTATATTCAGGGCTTCCTTTGATCCATATATGGTCAGGAAAAGCACCTGACAGTGACTGTGATGAAAAAAGGAGAGGAGAGACAGAGTAGGAGAGGGAGGGGGGAGGGAGAGGGAGAGAAAGACAGAGGAAGGGACAGAGAAAAGGAGGAGGGAAGGGGGAGAGAGAGAGAGAGACAGAGACAGAGACAGACACACAGAGAGTGGAGGGGGAGTAAAAGAGGGGGAGGGAGGGAGAGAGAGAGAAGAATAGGCTCATGCAATTTGGTGGTTTGTGTGAGTGATGAGATTATAAGGCTGAAAAGTGAGAACAATCCTCTTCAATCTTTTACAATATCAGTGGCATTCAAGCACTACTTTATTTTTGAACCAGAGTATCTGTTTCCATGATTTCCATAAGCACATAAATTATAATCTTTAGATCCTTCAATATTTCTTTCTGTGCTTTATTAAATGTTATTGCAGAGGCCATTTATGAACTGGATGATTCAACTTTTAATCTTGCGAACAGTAATGTGTATTCCACTGGGTTACCTTTTCCCCAAATAATCTAAAAATAACAAAAAGAAACTCGGGATAAGGCACGAAAAATGATGTGCCTTTTATGGTCCGAATGACAACCTCTCTGTCTCACTTCAAAGGAAGATAACCTAATAGTTTCCAGAATTTTTGAGTAATTAAGCTACATTAGGGGTTTTTATATAAGTTTATTCACACTAGACCTTTTATTTTAGGATAGTCAGAAAGATACTTAAAATAATCATATCAGGTAATGATGATTTAACAAAGTGAATGTCATTCTTTTCAATAAAATCATCAGAGAATGTAAACAAACCTAAGTTTACTTCCAGAGTACATTCAGGGTAAGTGGAAGTCATTATGTATAATTAATGCTGAAGGGAAAATGAACATGTAATAGGTTCCAAAGATTAAACCATCTGTAACTATCAAGGAAACTTTCAGAAGTTTTCTCCCCCCCTTTAAAAAACCTGTAACAGGTCCATTTAAGTAAGACTTCAAATAAAAAAAAGCCCAACATATACACATCAAGCAATCCTCTTACATTATACAGAGAAAATTAAATAAAACCTGTAAACATTGTCTTTTTTATCTCAACCAAGTACTTGGCTTACCTACTTCATGATCTTCAGTGTCAAGAAGTTTCAATTGCTGTGTTAATTCTTTGTCTTCACCACATTTATAAAGGTGTCTGAATTCTTCCTTGAACTTTGAAGTGGTTATATTTAGTCATTGGATGAGAGGAATAAAACAGAGAGTAGTTTTATTATATCTTCAGAATATTTTCTATTTATTTCAAAGGAAATTATTTCTAAATGACTACTATTTCATCTTCAGAATATCTGACATTTTAATATTGAAAAAAGTCCTCATGACTCCAAATTAAAATGTTTCTAAAGAATGGGCTTTTAAAAACAGTTTTCACTTATTTTATAAGGTCCAGGAAAAATCAGCTTAATTTAACCAATTTTGTTACTTTTAAAATTTGCTTTAGATTAACAATGAATGCATTTTAAATGCCATGTTCCAGTACAAATTTACGTTAATGTTCTTATCAAAGTTCTTTCTGCTTTGCTTTCTCAGAGGAATCTGTTATCTTTTTCAAATGATTGGAAGTGATTGGAATGTTTTCCTGCCCTGACAAATAGGGTGGGATCTTCCTATTTAACAGTAAACTCTTTAAAGAAGAATTTCAATATGCAAGTTTGAAAATCAAATATAATTTTCTTTTAGTCATAATCTTTCTTGAAGTAATGTGACATTTCTGGTAACTACCTGAAAAGCTTTAAATATGAACTGATTTATTTTCTCTTTTATTGCCATGGATAAAATTCTGTTATAACAAATTCAATTACAGGGCAACAAAATCTGTATAACAAAACAATTTAAGTCCCATATGATGACCCACTCATCATTAAATATTAGTTTTTTTAGAGTACCATGAAGTTTAGCTTTCTGTATCAGAATATTAACTAGCTATAAAGTTCTCTGTACATTTTAGAAGTGGTATGATTGTCTGCTTGTCAACAAACTCATAATTTCTCAGTAAACTGTAGCAATTTTTCCTGAAGAATTGTATCACCATGCCTTATCCCTGAACCACAGCTATATGTTTTCTTTATTCTAATTGATTACTATTTTTTTCAAAGAGCCTTAAATACTAGTAATCTAATCTTAATTGTCTAATGCTCTGTGAAAATTGACCTTTTGGGCACTGGGCAGACTTAGATTCACTTTAGCTACTTAGCTGTTTAAACTGAGTTCATTAAAGGAAAACGGGGCTTATTTTGTTGGGAAGGCACCTGCGCTGTTCCCAACAAACACCCAGGTTGTATGTTGCCAAACTATCTAGCAGGAAGTCAGCTAGAGGCAAATTTTCCGTTGCTGTCCTTCTAAAGGGGGAATGAATCTTTCTCAGGGCAGCTGACATTGTCCACAGTACTGGTTCTAATCTAGTTTCCCTCCTGTTTCCTGGGATTGCTTCAGTCAGAAGCATTCTTCCCATTTGATGGAAGTAGTGATTTTTTTTTTCATGAAACTGGGGAATCTGCATTTGGAATAACATGCTCTCTGACTATGTCACTCTCTTCAAGATATTGTACATATGAAGAAAGTAGAGTTAGAGAAATACTTTTCCATGGTATTTCTGTCCAATTGGAAAGGGTCAACTAGGAGTATGCTCAGTGGGTGGGTTAAGTAATTGATCAGCACCTCAGGGGCCTAGCCTTCTAATCTTGACTCTGTCACTAACTTCACTATGTGATTTAACCTCTGTATGTCTCTTTCCTAATCTCTAAATGATACTAACACACCTCCTAAGAAAGATGAACTAAAACAGTTCTAAAGCACCTTTCCAATAGGAAGGGTGCATTGTTAAATATAGATTGCTTCCCAGCCTGTCTTTCTGTATTCCTAATTTTCTTCAAGGGAATTATGAATTAGAAGTTCTAAGATTTTTCCCTCAGCTTCTCTCAATGTTTCCAGTTTGGCCTCCAGGACCAAAAAGTTGGATAGGACCTAGTTTTAGTATCTTGCCTTTCCAATAGTACCAAGGCACAGC